CTATAACTTCTCCCCCACGTCACCCTGACTCCTCCCTCTCGGATCGTCATATCCGCCCCGCCCATTTACGCCCGCATTACACTACCCTCCCCCGTAGAGAAAATCCCAGCCGTCCTCGGCTGAAACAGAACAAAATAATGCGGGCGAAGGCATCACAATCAGGAGTCCCCCAGACACAACGGAGATTATAACAACAACAACACAAGCAACGAAAGGGGAGGTATCAGGAACTGGAACAGAACACCGGCCTGTCCTCCGCGCAACATCAACAAAAATAAAAATGGCACAATGAACAAAAACGGCAACTGACACGCAAGAACGGCCAACGCGCACAATCCAGAAATGTGATGTTTTAGTGCGTGTCCATGTTGCAGTTCCATCCGCTCGGCTCAAGTCCAACGTCAAAGAGCAAGTGGTAGAGCAGAATGACGAACGGCGCTCAATTGCTCCTTCAAGTCCTCATCCAGCTAGCACACCAGGCAACACCCAGTGCGACGGGAGCTGAAGAATCTGTGACGAGAAGGAGAATCCAATCCCCTGAGGCACAGCACAACAACGCACATCCGCATGTCGTACACGACAGCCACCCGGCCTCAGGGTAGTGGAGATGATGTAAATCCAGCCCGCTTAAAAAAAACTCCCCATAAATACCCAAAATAACGCAATGGATGCCCCATTATTTACATTTTAACAACAATATTATTTACACGTGACAACAACAACAACAAAATTTCCTGCTCTTACCCACCAGCAGTCCTCCCTTGAGGACCAGCACAGACATCGCACGTACACAGCATGTACCCACGGTCACTCTCAGCAACCCAACAAAACGCCTAATCGCACACCCTCGCGTGGAGAGAGCCACGCTCCCCAGCGGTGACGTTTAACTCGCCGTAACCCTCACCGTGGTCGTCAACCCACAGCAACATCCATTTACCATACTCTCGGCTAGTGCCATTTCGGGGAAGATCAGCACTCGGCCATGCTCCTCCCTTACTATCCCATCAGCGATGGACACACACCAGCCTCTTATAGTCTGACGCTTTATAGCCCAGGGAAGGTTCATCCCCCAGCAATGCCAGACCCCATGTACTCTCCCCACGGGGCAATGTTCTCTTATAGAGACAATAACACCCTAACCCAGATCCCGTGAGCCCCAGGCACACCAGGTTCAGTCTGCCACCGCACAACTGAACCATGACTCCCCGAGCCATATGAGCACATGGCCCATTAGTTTAAGACATACCACGGAGGTTTCGCCTCCGGGCTGTCAGGTCAGCCATCAGCCATAGGCCGATGTGACCACAACTCGTGCATCACCCAATCAACAATGGCGGCATAACAGATGGAATATTTGCCCCACCGCGGTTTTTCCCGCGCGCTCAAAAATGGCGTCCCCCTTCGCCCAGCGCGTTCGCGCAATCTCTCGCGCGCACTCAAAATGGCGGCCCTTTCCGCAAAGCGCATCGTCGCCATACCCCGCGTGCGCGCAAAATGGCGGCCCAACGTGCGAACACGTGGCCAGTTTTCTCCATTCGTGCACCCCAGCTTCCCTTAGCTGGGGGTCACAAGACGCATCCCCCGTCACGTTATAACAACCCCACCAACGATAGACGCACAGCCCCAGCTTGCTGCGCACAGCTGTCATATCGTGGAATTTTTAACCAATATTTTACCAACCACATTGGTTACACAACCCAACTCGCCAAGCAACTCGTGGCTGCATGCGATCAACCGAAAACGCGACGCCACTTGGCGCCAATTTACGGTCCCATTAGCATTAACCTTTGAGACACCCACAACGGCGTCATCGCGCACCCTCATTTTCAAAAAGCTCAATTACCCCTATAATATACACGCAATCTCGTGTGCACAACACCCATACAACCAAATTTTATGGTCTCCCTCTATAATATACACGCAATCTCGTGTGCACAACAACCATACAACCAAATATTTGGGTCCCCCTCGAATTTGTTACCAATTTCCAACAGGTACGCACAATATAATAACAATCTCAATTCCAATAGTCAACCACTGCATCGCACCCCATAACCATACAGAACGGTATAACAGCACATGCAATCAGCATATCGCGATCACACGCGTACATTTAAGCACAATAGCAAGCAGATCTGCAGGCAACCAACACACCATTAATCCTGTCGTAACTTTGCAGCAACAACACAATTATTCTCTCTCTTGCAACAATCGCATCGCACACAGCACCTCGCAGCACAATACACCAAAAAAAAATAATTTTTTTTTTTTCATTTAAGCCCATCGCACAAGGTAACCCACAAATAATACAGCGCAAGATACCCGACGCTCCCAAGTTAATAATTAACTTCACCATCAAGATAACAACTCCACGCAGCAGCGCACACACACAATTTGACACTCAGCAAATACAGCAGACTCTCCGTCCATTCTCAACACACGCACACACTTATATTGACACCAAGCAACAAGCAGATAGCGCGTTCATCGTTATTACACACACATACACACAGTCCGAACCGCGCTCCGCACAATCGAGTCATAAGAGAAAACCAAAATAGCCCCCCCCCGGCCCTCGAAAGATGAGTGAGGTGTGTGTTAAGGCCGGGTGCGTATCGTTATGACTCGCCCGGGGCTGCAGCAAGAAGAGGACGGCAGGGTGGCAACTTGAGACGCCTCGCAGAACTCGTTCGGCGACTTGACGGCTCCGTTGTCACGCACCCGAGCCAGGACGGGAAGCTCCCGCCCCAGCAGCTGCAGCATCGGCGTCTTCTCCTCGCAGCACCCCCTCGAAAAACAGCAGCTCACAGCAGGCTGCTCACCCCGCGGCACCTCCAGATGGCAGCGCAAGGCTGCCTCTCCGCCGCGATGTTGAAGATGGCGGCGTCCTCCCGCCGCGGTGAAGACAAGATGGCGGCTTCCCGCCGTTTCTCCCCTGCCACGCCCAAGATGGCGTCTTCGTGCCACGTGGCAATGGCGCTGGCAGCGCAGGAAAGGCAGAGGCCTGCGGATCACCACCGGGCCTCCCCGACGTCGTCCTCGGCGTGGTGAACTCACACAGTTGCGCCAGCACGATTTTCAAGGTCCCCATCTGCATCGCCATCTGTCTCCATCGTAAGTTGGCGTCCTCCGGCACAGACAGGTCCACCGACGCGGCGACACCTTGCTCACCCGGACCCGTACTCGTTCCAGAACGGATCTCCTCTTCCATCGCAGGCAGGTCCACCGTCTGAGGAAGGTTGTCGTCGTCGGATGATGTAGCAGGAATATTCTTTTTTTTTTTCTTCTTTCTCTCAGTTGTTTTGAGATGCCGTTTCACTTCTGACTCCAGTGTAATAAAAGGACTCAGACACTTCTCTCTGACTCCGTGTCCTTTATTTGGGGTTCGCGTTCTCCTTCCCACACGGCACTCCTCCTGAGACTCTCTCCCTGGCAGCCCCACATCTGCCTTCGCTCCCGTGGCCTTCCACGCTCCTGCAAGCTCCGCTGCAGGCTCTTGGTACAGCCCTCTGGCTGCTCCCCCAGCAGCTCCATCGCTGCTCCCTGTTCCTCCGTGCGTGGCGATTTCGCCACCTCCCAATGTCAGCCCTTCGTGGCCTCTATGGCTATCTCGCCATTTCCTACCTCAGCCCTTCGTGGCCTCTGTGGCTATCTCGCCATTTCCTACCTCAGCCCTTCGTGGCCTCTGTGGCTATCTCGCCACTTCCTACCTCAATCCTCCACTCTCTCTTCCACCCCGCTGGCTGGCGCCGTCATGAGCCCCTCAGCCACCAGGCTGAGGCACGGCGACCACCCAACGTGTTCACCACCCTTCACTCCCCCGACTGCCCCAGATAGCTTCCTGTCTCCCCGCTATAACTTCTCCCCCACGTCACCCTGACTCCTCCCTCTCGGATCGTCATATCCGCCCCACCCATTTACGCCCGCATTACACAATGATAGCTAAAATAGGTATAGTCGTAGTAAAGTTAAGAAGAGAATAGTATTATGAAGGATAGTTATGATTAGTATAACAAATAATTGTTTAGATAAGTTTAAGTATTTTTTTATTATTAAAATATGTATTTACATAATTGCGAGATTTACGTGACCACTGGATAAGCGATCTTGAAGAGAGGCAGGCCCGTATTTAGGTCCAATTGTGAGGCCAGCACATTGATTCAACAGAATCCCTTGGCGTACCTGTGTAATAACAGGTTGACCAGTATCACGAGTATGGGTGCGTTATATAATAACCAACAAGAAGAGGGGCGTAACTGGGTTAAAGGTAAAAGGAGGAGTTAGTCGGGAAGCTCCGGGAACCTGCTAAAAGGTTATAGAAGGGGGCGTGGCTGGAGGCGGGGCCTGGCCACTCCGGGAACTATATAAGGGCAATGTGACCAAAGGTTCAGGGCTGTCGTGGAGTCCAAGTCCTGGCTGCCGTCGCTGTCTTCGCCGTCATCTCTCTTCATCGTCCGGCCACATGGCCGATCCTCTGCATGGCTCCCATCATCGTCATCGCTATATTATTTAGCCAGCTATGTAGTTAGATGCCGACGACGGGGCTGTGTAAATGGATCAGCTATGCATAACCATATGTATATTTATGTCGCCCAGAGATTGTGCCTAAGTGTGAGAAATACATAATGAGCCCTCTACATGTTATGTCTCGGAAGTCGCTCTCTATACCTGTGTGCTGTGAGCCGTTACAAATAAACACGTCGTTTTGGAGGCGTGTCACCCCCTCGGAAAGTGCTGTGTGCATGTGGCCAGTGTAGGAAGTGAGAGCAAGTTGGTGTCGCAGCTGATGAAAGAGGACCGGTGAAACCAAGGCAAACAACGCAGGAGTGTTACCAAAACTTTTATTTTGTCATTTATTGATGACCACCCACCCCGTGTCCTTGATAATGGTCACGGCCAGGAAAGATCGAAGCATAGTGGGCACGGGTCACAGCTGCTGCTATATATTTCCACATAAGCCACTTCGTTGAGCTATCATTGCGTATTAAAAAAAGCTACAGAGCTCAGTGGGCCTTACCTGTTCAACTTAAAATAGTTTAGTTCAGCATGCGTATCTTCATGCTTAATGTAATTTTCATTTATTTTGGTTCCATTATCGTTTGTCAATGTCCCATTTTTCTGATCAATATTCATGTACACTGTTTGAAATCCTGTCCGTTCACAAACAGTCGGTTGTTGCTTCCAATGTAAAATGCATCTCCAAAGTGGTGTATTGGCTGTGGTCACAGTGTTGTGACTGGAGGGTGTCTGGTCACGTGATGCTCGTGGCTTGCTGTGATTGGCCACAAATACTTTCAACATAATTCCATACAATCAGAGCCTGATTAAGGCATGGGAGCTTTAGGGGCTGCAAGCCCAGGGGCCTCCGCCAGCTGGAGGGCCTCCAGAGATTAGGTGAAAAGTTTGTTTCACTTGTGAATGCTGAATTTTATTTCTTGTTAGCCTTGTAAAAATACATTACATTTTTACGTAACTTTGTTTTCCTTGAAAATATTACTGAGGGCCTCACTACGTGTAGCCCAAGGGCCTACAAAATCTTAATCCGGCCCTGTATACAATGGTTATAGGATGAAGATCTTTTTATTCATTTATTCACAAAAAAAATACTTTTTTATTTTACCAGGTAAGGCCCACTGAGCTATGTAGATATTTTTCAGAAGCTACCTGGCTATCACAAATGATAGCTCTACGAAGTGCCTTGTGGAAATTTATAGCAGCCAAAAACTCGAAACAAATGTTGATTCTAAATGTGAAGGCAAAAACCAGAGGGCCCAGAGAAAAATCCACACGACCATGCAAAGAGACACGCAAACTCTAAATATACAGCAGGCGTCAGGATTGAAACCACACGCTCCTGTATACCAAGCGAGGTAGCTAACATCTTCTAGCCACCGTGGTGAGATATTAGAATTATTTTTCAACGTGGCCCTGCAAATGTGTAATAAGTGGCTCTGACACGGTATGGAGCTTCAAGGTATTTATTAAATCTTCGGTACAGCCACCTCTCTCTCTCTGCGGATGTCGACCCGCTCTCGTGGCTGCGCTGCCCCGCGCCACGTGGCGCTCCCCCCGCTCGCTAATGCACCGCTGGCTGGCGGCGTGCTATTGAGCGGCTGGAGGTCGAACCGCCACATGGCAGGTGGAGAGCGTGGGGAGCTTCTCTTCGATCTTCAAACACCGACCACGCACGTTGTTGTACCCCCTGCTTATATTCTTTACTCAGAGACCAAGCCCCGCCTCTGGCCACGCCCTTCCTGGAACCTTCGAGAACGTTCCCGAGGCTTCCCTGCTAGCTCTGCCCATTCACCTTTCCCCCAGATACTCTCCCACTATCGATAATATGTGGACTGTATAAATGTAATGTAATCCCCACCATAGCGCTTTCATTACAAATGGATGAACACAAATGAGAATAGACTTGACCATTTCTGGCAATAAAACAAGGCGTTAAGATGTTCAAATCGGTATCTGTGGTGTTTAAGCAGTGTTAGACCAGAGAACAACGCCAAAACGCGAATGGCACAAAAGCAATGCAAACATCCAAAGCATTAATTATAGATTTGAAGCTTTCGTGACTGCAAGGATTCATATTCTTAGGTTTTTTCCGGTAAAGTCACGTAGGTAAAGCTTGTGTTGCCTCCGAAACGTCGTGATTTTTATTTTATTTTACTTTTATTAATTTTAATTTTTTACCTACGTGACTTTACCGAAAAAACCTAAGAATATGAATCCAAAGCATTAATAAGGCCGGGTTGAGGAATTATATCAATGGGATCCGTTTTGAATATTTAAACAGTTGTTTTATTCCCAGAAAGGGTAAAGCCTATTCTTATTTATTCATCATTATGTTACTGGTAAGTTAAAAGGTCACACTCAGAGATGTCTTGCAATGGGCATTTAAGATATCTCTGGTACCCTTTTGTTCTCTGGTGTAACACTGGTGGTGAGACAAGGCCTTAACAGATGCTTCTCTGGTGTAGGCCAATTTGTTTCAAGGACAACGAAAACATTATTAGCGAAGTACTTTTGTTTGCATGTTTTACCACAAGCGTGATGATGTGTGGTAAATGCAGATTTGATGATGCCTTGCAGTAGGTGTGTCTATTTTGGTGTTTGCGTATCTTACCACCTGTATTATTGCCAGAAAGGGTTACAGCCTATTCCGTTTTTCCCTCATGAAGACGATGTTTCAATCGTAACTTGCTTGGGGCAACTCATCACTTGCAAGGCTTGCCTCAATCAAAGCTCGTTGAAGGTCCTCTTAGGTAAAGGAAAAGACTGCTCTCTCGCCCCACTCTGCTCTCTACCCCCACAGTCTGCGAGGCGCGTGGCGTTGAGGCTCACATCTCCAGCTTCCTCTGCACCTCCCACAGAGCCCGGGCGCTGGTGCACAGCTGGGCAGTCTCGGGTGGCGTAAGCGGCTGGTTCAGGATCCCACAGACGCCCGTGGAGCCCAGCACACATGGCAGGGAGAGGAACACCTCTTCTGTGATGCCATGCTTGCCCTGTACACAGAGACAAAGACCCAACCCCACCACCCCCAGTATAGCGTTAACATAATGTTTTGGGCAAGTACTGTTAGCGAGTAGCAGCACTTACGATGGCCAGAATGGTACATCAGGAGGTAGGTGGCCAGTGTGATGCCGCCGCCACGAAGCCGTTCGGCAGGCGCCCAAATCCCCGACCTCGCCACCACCAAGCAACGGAGCCAACCCCGCGTCCCCCTCACCTCACCTCACATGAACACACCCGCACGCATTTTCCCCCACCCATAGAGCTGGAAGGGGAGGTTACCTGGCCGACCGGTTTTTATCCGAGAAACCCTTATCGGGGTTAACTCTCACGGTTTCCGGCGATCAGGGAATTGGATGACCTCCCCCGTGCTACGTGGCACCGCGGCGCTGCGACCAGCCTTAATATGGTCTGGTCGCGGCGTGGGGCATTCGGCCACCGCGGTTGAGGCGCATTTCCCCCCACACACACCCCCACTGGTCGACGGGGCAAGCAGGGGAGGGATGGGACAGCATGAATAGCGGGACCGCAGGAGCTGTTGCGCATAGTCATGGAGGGTTGGGATAATTACGCTTGAGCGCGCAGGCCCCATTGTTAGGAAGGGTAAGGGAGTAATTAGGATGTACGCCGCCAACGCAGCTCACTGATTAGCAGATCAAAAGCGCCCGGAACCGCCGTGCGCGGGCTCGAGGTGCACGAGCCCATTGTTCAGCGCAGCATCCCCTTTGAGGTAGGGAGGATAAATAGAGGGGCGCAGAGGGGAAATCGCTCTCTTCTCTCCAGGCCAGCGGACCAGCAGCAGCTCCAGCCAACGACCCAGACGTCCGTGCGACGCATCGAGGTGCGCTGTTAGCGCAGAGAGCAGCGAACCTCCGCGGGCACCAAACAGTGAGTGGGGAGGTGAAGTAGGGTAGCGTAAGCCGATAAATAGGGAATAGGTACAGGTTTGGGTGGAATAGGCCAGCCTCGTCGACTCACTGATTCAACATCAATTCGCAGGTAGCAAATAATAAATCATTAATAGCGAAGCGTGGTCTCGCGTGATCTTGTCGTGCAGAGTGTCGCGTGGGGAGCTGCGTGTGTGTGCGTGCGTCCACCCCGGGTGCGATACAGGTGCGCGATCATAACGCGAGTAGTCAGGGGTGAGTGTAGTGCTGCGGCTCACCTCGGGGGAGCGCTGTGCAGAGCGGCGCGAGAGTGGGTGTCGCGTGTGTTCACTCCGTGTGTGATACAGGTGCGCGATCATAACGTGAGTGGAGTTGGAGTACGCGGAGCGGCGTGTGTGTGGGAGTGCGCATACGTTCGTTACGTGTCGGATATGGATGCGCATTGGTAACGTGCCACACAGGGCTATAGGCGGGCACACACTCGCAGTATACGAGAGCTATACGTAGCGGTGTAAAGAGGGGGAGTGTGGCGTTTTGATTGATGATGCTGTGTGCACGTATGCTCGCAGCGTGGGAGCGCGGCGCGAGGCTGTAACAGTAGGGGCGTCGCGTTCGAATGCCGGCGAAACCGTAGCGGGTAATAGGGAGGTGGGGTAACGTTAACGGAATAGGCGATGCAGGCAGGAAGGATCTCGGGGGCTAGCGACCCCGACACCAGCACCACGTCCGGCCGCCTTTGTCTCCCCAGTGGCGATTTTGACACACCGCACCAGGTATTTATTTGAGGCTGAGTCTACCCATGGTAGGCCATGGACTGATTCAGATAATTAATCGTTACTGGTGTTGCTGACCGTGAGCCAGAACCAAAATTGGGTCCCCGAGTTCGTAGCGCAATGTGCTAACCGCTACACTACACTTACACACGCATAGCCAGGGGTAGAAATGTCAGAATGACCCAGAACGCCATAGTGGGAGTGAAAATTCAAATCTGACTTGATTTCGGAAGGAACCAGAGACTGCGGTAAACTTTATACATTTATCTATTTAAAACATAGGCTTTTGCGATCAATATGAATACGTGCATTATCAAGTAATACACCGAATATGAATAAGTAATACACTTTTTGGTTCTTTCGGTAAAGTCACGTAGAAAGAAAATTAAATAATAGAATACGACGTTTCGATTGCAACTCAAGCAATCATCATCAGGTACGAATGAATGAGAAAAAAACCTAGTAAAATTAGAAATATAATGCAATACAATACAGAGAGTCGGCTAACAGAACAGTCAACACAGAGAGAGAGACACACACATAGGCACACATAGAGAGAGAGGGGGCAGAGAGAGAGAGGGGGGGGGTGTAGAGAAATTAGCATGTCAATGAGAGATTTGGAGCTTTCGTGACTGCAGGAAATGCTAGAGACAACGCAGAAACACACAGAGAGAAAATAAACTTAATAAAACAATCTTAGTAAAATTTGGGAAAGTAATGCAATGCAACACAGATTCGGTCAACACACAATCAACGCATAGCCTGGTTGATTACGTTCTTCCAAAGATTGCTAAATTTGAAGTTAAGTGTGAAATGTGTGAGAGAGAGAGAGAGAGACAAGACACAGACAATGAGACAAAGACAGACACACAAGCAGAGAGACAACAGAGAGAGAGAGAGAGAACTAACTTAAATCCTCCCCATAGAGGTGTTTTAAACTTGATTTGAAGCTTTCGTGATTGCAGGAATTACTTTTTGGTTATTTCGGTAAAGTCACGTGGTGTTCGCCAACAAGTGCCTGGTGGCTACGTGGTGCCGTTCTGTGCCCCCCCCCCCCATCCGCAGGACTAGGGTGAGGCACGGGTGTGATGCCAGTATGGCAGGGAGAGGGATTATCTCAGATGGACTGGACTTTGGCGATGGACGCTCGCTATTGTGACATGGAATGTCACATCACTGGGAGGGAAGGAGCCAGACTAGATATAGTTAGTCTTACCTCCACACACAGCATTGGCACTGGAACCAAACTTCTCGATCGGGGGTCGTCTCCTATTCCAGAGTACCCCCTGGTCAGAGGCCCCAGGCAGGTGTGGGGATACTCACAACCCCCGCGGCTAGGTGTTGTTCAATTGGAGTTTGTCTCAGTGGATGAGAGGGTTACCTCAAGGAGACTTCGGGTCTCAGAAAGGAAAACTCTTGACTGTTGTCTGTGCTTATGCACTAAACAGCGGTTCACCGTATTCAGCCTTCTTGGAGATGGTGGGTGCAGTGCTCGATACAGTTCCACTTACCGACTCCATAGTCTTACTGGGTGACTTCAAGGGTCACATGGGAAACGATGGAGATACCTGGAGAGGCGTGATTGGGAGAAATGCCCCCCCCTGATCTGAACCCGAACGGTAAGATGTCATGGAAATTATGAGCTACTCACGAAATGTCAATAACAAACCCATGTTTGAACATGAGGATGCTCATAAGTGTACTTGGTATCAGACCACCTTGGGACGAAGGTCAATGATTAACCTTATAGTTGTATCATTGGACGTAAGGCCATATGTTCTGGACGCTTGGCTAAAGAGAGGGGCAGAGCTGTCAACTGATCACCACCTGGTGGTAAGTTGGATCCGATGCTTGGGTCACCGACTAGATAGACGTGGAAGGCCCAGACGAATAGTGTGGGTTTTCTGGGAACGTCTTGCAAAGACCCAGTGCAAAAATATTTCAACTTCCACCTCGGGGAAAACTTCTCCTGCACTCCACCAGAGGTCGTGGACATTGAGTCCGAGTAGATAATGTTCAGGACTTTGATTGTGGATGCAGCCGCGAAAAGCTGTGGCCTGAAGGCAGTCGGTGCCTGTCATGTTGGCAACCCTCGGTTCTGCTGTTGGACACCAGTTGTGAGGGAACCTGTCGAGCTGAAGAAGAAGGCTTTCCGAGCTATGCCCGGAAAAAGGTCTCCCGACTCGATTGAGAGGTATCGGCTTGCCAGAAGAGTGGCAGCTGCAGCAGTCACTGCAGTTAAAGCCCAAGCATGGGAGGAGTTTGGAGAGACCATGGAGAGGGACTACCGGATAGTCTCAACGATGTTCTGGCAAACCATCCGACGCCTTAGGAGGGGTCAACGGGACGTGGCCCAGGCTGTTTTCAGAAAGGGTGGCTTGACATTGACCTCAACTAAGGAGATAGTCGAGAGATAAAAGGAACACTTTGAGGAGCTCCTCAACCCGGTAGACATGCCCTCCTCTCAGGACGCAGCCTTGGAAACAGCTGGGGGAGTCGGATCCATCCCGGCTGCTAAAGTCGCTGTGGCGGTCGAGGGCATTCGGAGCGGCAAAGCTGCTGGGGTGGACGAGATTCGCCCAGAGTCTTTTTTAAAGTGCTGGACAGTGTAGGAGTGTTATGGTTAACATTGCTCTTCAATGTTGCATGGAAGATGGGTATAGTTCCTCTGGATTGGCAAACTAGGGACGTGGTTCCCATTTTTTATAAGGGGACAAGAGGGTGGGCTCCAAATACAGAGGAATCACACTCCTCAGCGTCCCAGGTAAAGCTTATGCCAGAGTGCTGGAGAGGAGGCTCTGCCCGGTGGTCGAGCCTCAGATTCAGGCGGAACAATGTGAAATCCATCATGGTCATGGAACAATGGACCAGTTGTTTTCCCTCTCACAGATATTTGAGGGGTCATGGGAGTATGCTTCTCTAGTTTACTTCTGCTTTATAGACTTGGATTAAGCATATGACTGTGTTCCCCACAATGTCTTGTGGGAGGTGCTGTCGGAGTATGATGTACAGGTGCCAATTGTGTGTGATTTTCAGTCCCTCTATTCCCAAAGTAAGAGCTGTGTCTGTATTCTTTGTGTTAAATCAAAGTAGTTCACTGTGGGTGTTGAACTCCGCCGAGGGTGAGCTTGTCTCCACTCCTGTTTGTGATTTTCATGGACAGCATATCAAGGCACAGCCGAGGTATGGAGAGCATCCAGTACAGGGGCATGGAGGTGGCATCGTTGATTTTTGCAGATGACTTTGTCCTCTTTGCCTTGTAAGTCTGTGATCTCCAGCAGGCACTTGAATGGTTTGATGCCGAGTGTGAAACGAGTGGGATGAGGATAAACA